TCCTCCTCCTTCCCCTTCTTTTTTCTCCTCCTCCTCCTCCTCCTCCTCCTCCTCCTCCTCCTTCCCCTTCTCCTTTTTTTCCTCCTCCTCCTTCTCCTCCTCTTCCTCCTCCTCCTCCTTCTCCTTCCTTCTTCTTCTTCCTCCTCCTCCTTCTTCTCCTCCTCCTCCTCCTCTTCCTCCTCCTCCTCCTTCTCCTCCTCTTCCTTTTTCTTCTTCTTCTTCTTCTCCTCCTCCTCCTCATCATCATTCTCCTCCTCCTCCTTCCCCTTCTCCTTTTTTCCTTCTTCTCCTCCTCCTCCTCCTCCTCCTCCTCCTCCTCCTCCTCCTCCTCCTCTTCCTCCTTCTAGCACTGATGATGTTACCTAATTGGGTCATGAAACATCTGCAAGAAAACCACCCAGCTCAGGGAGCACCAGGGGACCCTGTGCTGGAGCAGATTGTAGCTAGCTTAGGAATTAAGAACTGTGTTAGAACATTTAGCATTTAAAAGGTTAACGCCGTCTCCTTAAGAGATGGCCTCTGGGAAATGTAGTCTACTTGCTAGTCAGTCCTATATCCCATCTAGTCAGTGGGAGGGGCTTCAAAGTTTATCACAGGATGTCCAGGCTACCTGTGAGGGTTGTAAAAATCCTTTGTCTAGCAAAGCATCACGTAGGCATCATTTGGCATCCCTATCTACACCTAGCTGAGATGGAGGAGTCATCTTTTTTTACCTATGAAAATGGACAGATATGCAAATGACTGGACGAATCTATTGCAAAGTTAAGTTTCTGCTTAGAACTCCTGGACAATAAATATTTGTTTTAAAATTATTTTCGTTGAGTTTATGCTGTCTGGACCAGAATTATAAAGCATCTCAGTTCATGGATCCAGAAAAGACCCCATAGTTACCATCCCCCTCCTCCTCCTCTCCAATTTACTCCATTCTAGCACCATCATAATAAAAGTTAGTGTCCAGCTTATATTCCAAAATTGCAGCTAACCCCGCTGCATTTTCAGCTACTTGTAAAGTTATGTCATGTCTTAGAGTTTGGGTGGGGTATGTAGATTTTAAGGGTCTTTGTCCTCTTAATCTTCTAGCTGGGGGCCTCCAACCTTCCTGGATTATTTACATCTGCATTTCTACAGAGCTGGTTTCTGCTTGGGGGAGGGAGACTTGGGGCTATTAAGAAAAAACTGGGCGTGCTTTTCTGCCTCTTTAAGATCCTTTAAGGAAATATATTTTTCTGCCCTTTTAATAGTTCCTTCTCTGGGGGGGGGCCTGACTTCCCACACCTCTTTGCAGGATTTACAAAACAGGGCCAACCCAGCCTCCATCCTCACATCTGAACTGCAGCTGAGCAGCCCAGCCACGCCAATTGCAATCTCCTAAGATCTAAGCAGCTATTATTATTTGGCTGCTATTTTTAAAATTTGGTATCGGTGAGGCTTATTGCTATGCAATAATTTCCAGGAATTCTGCATTCCGAAATCTTGCCTAATCCAAATCCATCTCTCACAGTGCAGTGCAAGTTCTCTTCATGTTGTGAAATTTAGGAATTTCCATCAGGTCTTCTGAGTGCCAGCTGAGAACATTGATCAGCCCAGGGTGCCCATCCCTCACTACCCATCTATTAACAAACATGATTAGGGGTCTGGAGACTGAAACATACAAAGAACGGTTGCTGGAGTTGGGTATGTCTAGTTTAACGAAGAAAAGGATGAGGGGGGACATGATAGTAGTGTTCCAGTATCACAGAGGCTGTCACAAAGAAGAAGGAGTCAAGCTATTCTCCAAAGCGCCTGAAGGAAGGCAGGACAAGAAGCAATGGATGGAAACTAATCAAAGAGAGAAGCAACCTGGAACTATGGAGAAACTTCCTGTCAGTTAGAACAATTAACCAATGGAACCACCTGCCTCCAAAAGCTGTGGATGCTCCAACACTGGAAGTTTTTAAGAAGAGACTGGACAGCCATTTGTCCGAAATGGTGTAGGGTTTCCTGCCTGAGCAGGGGGTTAGACTAGATGACCTCCAAGGTCCCTTCCAATTTTATTATTATTATTATAAAGGAACAAAAAAAAAATATACCCCAAGCAGGTAGGAGAAGCTGTTGTGTACCAACCCTTCCTATCCATGGACCAATCTTCCTGCACTGATGACATTACCAAGAATGGCAGTGAAAGGTGAGCAATATGCAAACCAGGTTTTCAGAACACCCAGGATCCAACAGGAGGTATCGAGGGTGAGGCCAGAAGGGTTTCTCCTGGGTCCTCCACTCTTTGCTTTAGCTCTGAATCCCTGGATGAAGAGAGGGAGGAAATGCATGTTGATTGCACAGGAGAATTAACCCTCTGGAAGAAAGAAATGAAATCCAAAATGACCCCGTTACAAGAAATAATGGGTAGAAGATCATTAGTGATCCAACCTCCAACTTTGTCTCACAGTTGAGAAAAATTTCTAAGGGCGGGAATTTCTAAGGGGGCAAATTTCGATAAAATCTCGTATAAAGAATTGTTAATTTGGTCTGGTTCGAATTGGCATTTGAAATCCCTAGATGTATTAAGGCAAGAAAATACTCTACAGTCATGGTTTCAATACTTACAAATAGTGGATAGATGGACTGTAGATAAGAAAGAGGGAATAACATTAGAAGATAAACAATTGGTTATTCAGATTAAAAATCAGAGTCAGGCCCATATAAAAAGAATTTACAATGTTTTATTAGAGTTAGACTCGGAAACAGAATTGGTTAAAGATTGTATGATTAAATGGACTCAAAATATACAGGAACCGATTTCATTGGATTTATGGGAGACAATTTGGACTAGAAATGTTAAATTTACACAAGCTCAAAATTTGAGAGAAAATTTTTATAAAATGTTTTACAGATGGCATTTAGATCCTAAAAAATTATCTTGTATGTATCCTAACATACAGCCCAAATGTTGGAGATGTGGCAATAAAGATGCGACATATTTTCATATTTGGTGGAATTGTAAAAAGGTAAAGGCATTTTGGATTATGATTTGGTGGAACATTCAAAAGATTTTTAGAAGGAAGATAAAAGTTTACTCCTCAACTATTTTTATTGGATATCTTTGTGGATTTAAATGATAAAGAAACTATTTTGATGTTGAATTTATTAACTGCCACAAGGTTATTAATAGGTTTATATTGGAAGAAAGATTCTTTGCCTACTTTAGAAGAATGGGTATTTAAAGTATCTAGTTTTGCAGAGATGGCAAAAATTTCTGCCTATTTAAAGGATCATACACAAGAAAGATATATCACTGTATGGAGAAGATGGATAGATTATATTCAGAAAAAGTATGGAACTAAAAAGTTTCATTTATTTTATGAATGAATATTATAGTAAATATTACAGAGAATTGTCTTATAGGCTATTGGAGTTAAAGGTTAAGTATGATATTTTTTTTCCTTTTTTATTATTATTATTATTTCTTTTTTTTCTTTTTTCTTTTTCTTTTTCTTTTCTTTTTTCTTATTATTATAAATCCTTTTAATTATTAACCCTGTATTCTGCTCTGGGAAGTGAAGGGAGGGGGGTTGGGGGTGGGAGGGAGGGAGGAAATGTGGGGGGGTAAGTGTAATATAGATAATGGTTGCTTATAGGGGTGCGGCCTGGGCACTCCCCTTATGCTGCGTTCATGGGTTTGATAGGAATGAGAGGTGGGCAAGTGTAGAGAGGAAGTAGGGTAGTGAGAGAAGAAGGGGAGGGGAAGAGAGTAGGATGGGAGGTGAGAAAGAGGAGGGAAGTAGGGAATGTTTTAAGAGACGGTGGACGCGGCCTGGGGGGAGTGCGCAGGTCGTAATAATGTTTATTTTATCTTAAAATTGTATTGTATACTTTTTTTTATAATGTTTATATGGAAAAAATAAAAAACTTTCATTAAAAAAAAAAGAGAAAAATTAATTAGTGGAATGACTTCAGACGTTCTGGGTGCTCCATCACTGGAGGTTTTCAAGATGAGATTGGAAAGCGACTTGTCTGAAGTTGTACAGGGTAGGGGTCTTCCAACTTGGCCCTTTGATGACTTGCCCAGGTCCTGGGTAAGGACTCGATAGGTAGACAAAATGCCAAATCCAGTCTGAACATCTGGCTGACTGTGCGATGATCCATAATAATGTTGGGAAGGATCTTGGAGATCATCTAGTCCAACACCCTGCCCAGGCAGGAAATCCTATACCATTTTGGACAAATGGCTGTCCAGTCTCTTCTTGAAGACTTCCAGTGTTGGAGCATTCACCACTTCTGGAGGCAGGTGGTTCCATTGGTTAATTGTTCTGACTGTCAGGAAGTTTCTCCTTAGTTCCAGGTTGCTTCTCTCCGTGATGAGTTTCCATCCGTTGCTTCTTGTCCTGCCTTCAGGCGCTTTGGAGAATAGCTTGACTCCCTCTTCTTTGGGGCAGACCCTCAAATATTGGAAGGCTGCTATCCTGTCCCCCCTCATCCTTCTCTTCATTAAACTAGACATACCCAATTCCAGCAGCCGTTCCTTATATGCTTTAGCCTCCAGTCCCCTAATCATCTTTGTTGCTCTTCTCTGCACACTTTCTAGAGTCTCAACCTCTTTTTTACATCGTGGTGACGAAAACCTGATGCCATATTCCAAGTGTGGCCTTACCAAGACCTTGTAAAGTGGTATTAACTCTTTACGTGATCTTGATTCCATTCCTCTGTTAATGCAGCCTAGCACCGAGTTGGCCTTTTTGGCAGCTGCAGCACACAGCTGGCTCCTATTTAAGTGATGGTCCACTAGGACTCTGAGATCCCTCTCACAGTTGCTACTATTGAGCAAGGTACCCCCTATACTGTACCTGTGCATTTGGTTTTTCTTGCCTAAATGTAGAACTTGTGATGCCGCTCAGCCCCTCTTCCTCTGACATGGGGGGGGGACATGGGTCAAGGTGGGGTGGGAAACACCCCAATGGGGCAGAAGAAGATACCTGAGACGGAGAAGGCAACTAGAACCAATGCTTTATTCCAGGAAAGAAGGAATGAACCCAGGGTGCCTTTGGGGGGAGGGTCTCCAGGGTGGTCCAGGACAGAAGAAGGTCCTCTCTGTGAAGTTTGTCAATTATACCCAGTTCAGGGTCTCCTTGTTGCTGGTGCTGTAAAAACAAAATTCAGATGTCAGGTTTCTGCCCAGAACTGCCTCCGGTGCTTCACCCTACTCATTGTTACAACCAGGGAGACAGGAACCTAAAATCTGGAGGAATGGCCTGATCAGGAGAGCCAGGAACCCTGGAGTTTATGGGGCTCCATAGCTGAGGGTTTCAAGCAGAATACAGACTAACAACATGGGAAGGAACCTCAGGGGTCTTCTCGTACAACTCCTTGCTCAAGCAAGAGACCTTGTGCCATTTCAGGCAGATGGCTGTCCAGTCTCTTCTCGAAAACCTCCAGTGATGGAGCTCCCACAACTTCTGGAGGCAAGCAGTTCCACTGATTAATCCAGGGGTCCTCAAACTTGGCCCTTTGATGACTTGTGGTCTTCAACTCCCAGAATTCCTCAGCCCAGTCATAAAAGGGCCGAGTTTGAAGACCCCTGGATTAATTGTTCTCATTGTCAGGAAGTTTCTCCTTAGTTCTAGATTGGATTTCTCCTTGATTAGTTTCCATCCATTGTTTCTTGTCCTCTTCTTTAGCTGCTTTGGAGAATAGGTTGACCAGCTCTTCTCCATGGCAAATCGAAGCAAAAGTGGGACATTCATTTGTCCAGGATGATCTACACTGGAAGAAAGATGGCCTAGAAAACCTCTGGCATCCCCCTCCCCCCAACATCTCTCTTTCTAGGGGACTTCAAGGCCACTGCTTGGAGCACAGGTAAGGGCAGGTTCATAGGAGCTTCCTAACTCGGACATGGAACATTTCTGGAAGGAAGGTGGACTAGAAGAGGGGTCCCCAACCCCTGGTGCATGGACTGGTACTGGGCTGCAGCATGCCAGCAACCGATCCGCACAAACAAGCAAAGCCCCATCCATGGGATGCAGGCAGCACACAAACCCACATACTCTCCATTCTGTGGAAAAACTCTCTCCACAGAACTGGTCCCTGGTGCCCAAAAGGTTGGCAAACTCTGGACTAGAAGACCTCCAGGATCTTTTCCTCATCCTGTCTTTCCAGGAGACCTCAAGACGGCCATTTAGAGCTTGGGCAAGAACATCTTCACGGGAGATTTCTAATTCAGATGAGGAGCATTTCTTACGTCGGAAATGTGAGGTTATCTTTGGTGCCTCTGGTGAAGCCATGGTGGACCTTCCTGTTATCTGAGCTTGGATCAGTTCTGGTCTGCCCAGAGGATGAGCTGGACCAAAGTGGGCAAGGGGTTCTGTCTCAGCCTCTCCTCCTCCTGGAAGTCCTCCTTGCCTGGGACCTTCTGGCTTCCTGACCAGGCTGGCAGGAGGACCATCTTCTCCAACACAATGGAGGTTCAGGAGGAGAGGAGGTCAAGAGAAGTGGGATCAGTCTCATGGCTTCCACAGAATGGGGAAGGAGATCTCTTAGGAAGAAGGGACGTAGAATGCCAAATTCTGCATCACCACATCTTCCTTGTTTACATCAACTCCACCTATGATGGACACGAAGAGACCCCAAAGAAACCTGCAGGTGCCCAGACCACGTCTAGGCCAAAGTGACATTACACAGCTGTTCCTTTGGACTGAGCAAACTACACAAGTGACAATATGTGGCACCTACCAAACTTCCAAAGGACGGCATCCTTGCACACAGTCATGCATCCGTAACGGCAACACTTCTGCTGCCCAGGACATTTCCAGTCATTTTTACAATTCTTGCGACAAGGAATCTTGTCTTGCTGGCCCTGTTGTTGAGGGCCCTGGGGACACACTCCACGTTTTTCTGCAAAATAGAAGATCCCAAGGATGAGAGATTCCTCCAGAGTTGGAATCCCAGATCAAGCAAGATCCCATCTCTGGCCTTTCAGGAACTGAAACATCTCCATACATCCAGGTGAGACGCTGCCAGATCCCACCTGCCCACCTCCTTCCCCACAAAGCAGAGTTGTTTCCTGCTGGGGGTCGACCTCTCAGGATCTGGGGGAGGGTCCCTATAACTGGGCTCCCCTCCCTTTAGCCACAGATCCTGGGGGTGGACATGGACAACCCCGGTTTCCACCAAAGAGGAAGGTGGAATTCCAGGGAATGGGAGGCAGAGACTGTCTAGCTGGTCCTGCACACTCCCACAGCCCCCTCCCCAAATAGAGAGGGGGCAAGAGAGCGCCCTCCCCCAAGCTGGGGATGGACAACCAGAGAGTTCTTCTTTCCTTGGACCTCCTAGACGTTGCCTGAAGTTCTTAGGCTAAATGAGGAGGTTGAAGTTCTGAGCTGGCTCCCTCAGCACACGCAACTGGGCTCACTCAGAATTGGGCCCTTGGTGGTTCATGGACCAGGCAGGATGGAGCCATCACACCAACATCCACATCATCAGGGACACACAACCCAGCAGAAAATAATTCCCCAATCCAGGAACTATCAAGAAGGAAACCACACTCCCACCAAGACTTGTAGGACAAGTTGAAATATCTAAACAGGGAGCAAAGCCCACACTGCAGTGGTGATATTACCTAGCTGGGTCATGAAATGTCTGCAAGAAAACACCAAGCTCAAAGAGCACTAAGGACCCCACAGTCCTCCTCCTCCTCCTCTTCACAAGGCCCCTTCCTTCTAGCACTGAGGATGTTCCCTAGTTGGGTCATGAAATGTCTGCAAGAAAACAGCAAGCTCAGAGAGCACCTAGGCCCCTAAGTCGTCATCATCATCATCCTGCTCCTCCTGCTCCTCCTCCTCCTCCTCCTGCTCCTCCTCCTTCTCTCTGCAAACCCCACTCCCTTCTAGCACTGATGATGTTACCTAGTTGGGTCATGAAACGTCTGCAAGAAAATAATGAAGCTCAGAGAGCACCCAGGACCCCTAGGTCGTTGTTGTCGTTCTCCTCCTCTTCCTCCTGCTCCTCCTCCTCCTCTCTGCAAACCCCACTCCATTCTAGCACTGATGATGTTACCTAGTTCAGTTATGAAATGTCTGCAAGAAAACCACCAAGAAATGCATAGTTCTCATCCTCCTCCTCCTCCTCCTCCTCCTCCTTCTCCTCCTCCTCTTCCTCTTCCTTCCTAGCACTGAAGATCTTCCCTAGCTGGGTCATGAAACATCTCCAAGAAAACCACCAAGCTCAGAGAAACTCCACAGTTCAACCCTGGGTGACAAACATTCCCTTCTACGGAATCAATCCTAGCTGTTGTGAGAAGCAGGATACTACATTAAGCCACCCTAGGCTTAATTTTAGGAGACAGCAGTTCTTTTTAATGATGAAGAGGTCAGTCCACAGCTCCCTCCCTACTTACCAACACAGGTGTAGTGACATTGATCTTTGGTCTCAAAATTGTTGGCATTCCCACTACATCCACTGTAAAAAAACTGTTCACATTGTTTCGAAGCCGAGTTGTAGTAGAAACGAGGAATTCTGCCTCTACACTGACCGGTTTCAGCAGGAAGAGAACAAAACCCTTTGAAATAGGGAGAGGGAGAGGTTATTTGATTAAGTAGCACAAGAATCTTTAAGGCACTTCCCCAACCTGGTGCCCTCTTAGCATGCTCAGATTGCAAACAGTTGAGAGCCACCTGGGATGTTTTAATTTGGTTATTTGGTTTCCTACTCAGAATGTTTATGGAGATTCTCCATCATTCAAGTCAAGGTGCTTTTCCAAAAGCCAACTGGACTTTCTTACTTTGTGACTTGAAAATATTTCCCTCCTCATCCAGGAACTGAAGAACGGAAGAAGTTTCTTGGATGAGAAGTGAAATATCTTCAAGAAAAACAATATCTTCAAGAAAATGCCTCTTGAAAAGCACCTCTGTTACAGCCAACTACCATCTCAAGAAGCTTCCCAGGAGAGAAAAACATCAAGCCAGAGGTTCTAAACTGGTTTTCATTTCCTGGGTGAAGGACTCCGGTCATTTCAGCCCCTTCCTGCAGAGGGTTTCAAGAACATTCTGGAAACTCACTTGGACGGTCCTGGCCGGAGACGGGGGTCAGCTCTGCCCAGAGGGCAAGGAATCCCAGAAGCAGCAAAAGACCTCCAGAAGACATGATGAAGCCGTCTGTCCCAACCTCGGGGTACTCGCTCTATTTATTCTCCCCACTGGCAATTTCACACCTACAGATCTAGGAATCAGGATGACCTAATGCAGTGAGAATCCTAGTTCCTTTCTCTTTCCACAAGATGGTTGAAGAGGAGGTGGGGAATCCCAAAAGTTGGATTGGCTGGCTACTTTGAGGGAAAGCTAGGCAGGGCCCTGTTGAGATGTTCCTTGTTATTACACCAACCTGAAAATGATTGTTTTGACGTTCCCTTTCTATAAAAATGAAATGGGATCCATTGGAAGGGACCCTGTAGGTCAGTCCATCAGAATAGAACTGGAAGGGACCTTGGAGGTCTTCTAGTCCAACCCACCACTCAAGCAGGAGAAGCTATACAACAGGGGAGTCAATCTCGCCACGTCGCGTGACGTGTCATGATATATCACAACTTTTTTTCCATTGCTGGCGATGGGTGGGCGCGATTTCGCCATGATGCATCTAGCCCACGGGCCGGCAGTTTGACACCTCTGCCCTATACCATTTCAGACAAATGGCTGTCCAGTCTCTTCATAAAAATCTCCACTGATGGAGCACCTACAACATCAGTTTGTCAAAGAATGAAATAAGATTGGTTTGGCACAATCGGTTTTTAACAAACCCATGCTGGCTTCTAGTTATAACATTATTTGTTTCTAGATGTTCACAGATCTGTTTTTTGATTATCTTTCCTAGGATCTTTCCCAGGTATTGGTGTTAGGTTGATTGGTCTGTAGTTTCCTGGGTCTGTTTTTTTTTCTCTCCTTTTTTGAAGATGGGAACCATATCAGCCCTTTTCCAATCCTCCCTGATGCTCCAGGATTTTGGAAAGATATGATGCAATGGTTCTGAGAGAACATCTGCCAGCTCCTTCAGATCTCTGGGGTGAAATCCTTCAGGTCTCTGTGATTTATATTTGTCAAGATCAGATAGGCGCTCCTCTAACCATTTTCTTGCTTATTGTAATTTTTATTTCTAGTCTGTCTTCTACAGTTATGTTTTTAGTAGGTTGCGTTATGGTTTATCATGAAGATTGTGCAATTTGGGGAAATTATTGACCTCTGAGATAAAATGTGTTATTCTTACATATTTTGATTAGATGAATTAAGAAGAGACTGGACAATCATCTGTCTGAGATTGTATAGGTTCTCCAGCTTGAGAAAGGAGCTGGACTAGAAGATCTCCAAGGTCCTTTCCAGTTCTATTCTATTCTGTTCTATTCTACTCTACTCTACTCTACTCTACTCTACTCTACTCAACTCCTATTCTATTCTATTCTTCTCTACTCTAATTCTATTACTCTAATTCTATTCTATTTCTTATTCTATTCTATTCTGTTCTGTTCTGTTCCATATTTTATTCCTATTCCTATTCTATTCTATTCTATTCTATTCTATTCTATTCTATTCTATTCTATTCTATTCTATTCTATTCTATTCTATTCTATTCTATTCTATTCTATTCTATTCTACTCTAATTCTATTCTATTCTACTCTTTCTACTCTAATTCTATTACTCTCTCTAATTCTATTCTACTCTAATTCTATTCTATTCTATTCTATTCTATTCTATTCTATTCTATTCTAGTCTAGTCTAGTCTAGTCTATTCTGTTCTGTTCCGTTCTGTTCCATATTTTATTCCTATTCCTATTCCTATTCCTATTCTATGCTATGCTATGCTATGCTATGCTATTCTATTCTATTCTATTCTACTCTAATTCTACTCTAATTCTATTACTCTAATTCTATTCTACTCTAATTCTATTCTATTCTATTCTATTCTATTCTGTTCTATTCTGTTCTGTTCTGTTCTACTCTACTCTACTCTACTCTACTCTACTCTACTCTACTCTACTCTACTCTACTCTACTCTACTCTACTCCACTCCACTCCACTCCACTCCACTCCACTCCACTCCACTCTATATTAGAAGACAGGTGATAAAAGTGCTGGTTGGCTAAAGATTTTGAGATATTTCACAATAAAGATTTATACACAGGTGAGTATATTTGCCTGCAAGGGAGGGGGATGTATAGTGATCATGATGTCTCGTAACGTCTCGACGAAGTAAGGTAGAACAATGAAAATGGTACCACATGGAAGTGTATAAATTTATCTTCACTTTGAGACTAAAGATTATTACCTAACTGTAATTTACTGTTCTTTTATTGCAAGATACATTTGTCCTGGTCGGATCTATGCATTATACAGTTACATCTGGTGGCTTGTGAAAGTGTTTGTTGCCTAACATTTTCAAGGAACAGTTGCGTGATATTTTCCCTCAGGAGCCAAGATGCCTTGACATTGTGTAAACAATGCAAATATCTTCTGCTACAGTTGTGTTGAGGTTACATTTGCATCTCAAAAGTGCAGTATGCAGCATGAAGGCACACCACCGATATTTTGGATGCAAAATAGGGGATCAGGACAAGAGTTGGCCCCCTCATTATTGTTGGATTACATGTGCAACTTATCTGTGTCAGGGGCTAATCAAAAAGAAAAAGTCCATGCCTTTCCCAATTCCAAGGGTGTGGAGGGAACCCACCAATCAGGGCAGCAACTGCTATTTTTGCATGATTCCCTCAATTGCAAAAGGGATCTCAGGAAAGAAGAAGTGGACCCAGGAATATCCAAGCATTCCATCCACACTGTGTCCTGTTTCCCATGGGGAGGACTTGCCAATTCCAGATCCACCAGAATCCTGTTCTCTAGACTCAGATGATAGATAGATAGATAGATAGATAGATAGATAGATAGATAGATAGAGAGAGAGAGACAGACAGACAGACAGACAGACAGACAGAGCTAGATAGATAGATAATAAATAGACAGACAGACAGACAGACAGGAGATAAATAGACAGACAGATGATAGATAGATAGATAGATAGATAGATAGATAGATAGATAGATAGAGATAGATAGAGACAGAGAGACAGAGAGAGATAGAGAGACAGCTTGATAGATAGATAATAGATAGACAGGCAGACAGACAGACAGATAGGAGATATAGACAGACAGACAATGATAGATAGATAGATAGATAGATAGACAGACAGACAGATAGACAGATAAATAGGAGACAGACAGACAGACAGATAGACAATTTCTATTATCATTTTTTGTTACTGTGGGCATACTGGCTGTTGCCTCCAGAACCTTGTCATTTAATCTGATGTTAGAGCTTGTCAGTTTTTCATGCAAAAAGCATGAAAATGTTACATGAAAAACCAATAAATGAATGGAAAGTTATGCTATAAAAAGATAAATTTATAATGATTGCACCATTATAAATTGCATCATTATGACACCATTCTCATTGCTATATCACGTTTTGCAGAAATGTTATGGGGCGTAATAGCACATCCCCCTCGTAATTTGGAATTATTTTGATGCAATGTTGACCTGAAGCTGTATCTTGGAAACTGGAGCCAATTAATACTCAGGACTTAATTTTCCTTTATTTGTTACCCAATTCTGGTAAAATGTAGCTATTTTCATTTCCTTGTAGACTAGTGGAATGAATTAAGCAACTCAATTTCTCTTTGCTGCCTGTTACTTCCTTGTGGACCTACAGTTTCCTTGACTTTTTTTTTTGTTATTTATATGTTGAAAGAAACTTTTTTTTTATTATCTTGACTTTTGTTGCCAGTCTTTGTTCATTCTGAGCCTTTGCTTTCCTGACTTCATGTTTGCATATTTTGGCGGTCTGCTGATATTCTGCCTTAGTTATGTGTCCCTCTTTCCATTTTTGGTACGTATCCTTTTTTGTGTTTTAGTTGATCAGAGAGATTTTGGGGAGCCATGTTGGTTTCCTCTTGAATTTCTTGAATTTCTTTTTCAGTGGTATTGTGCTAGACTGGGCTTTTATGATTATATTTTTCAGAGTTTCCCCAGGCTTCTTAAGTTGTTTTCCCCTGTAGGATTTTTATCCCTGGAGTCTTTCCTAGGCTCTCTCTGAGTTTGTTAAAATCAGCTCTTTTAAAGTTTAGGACAGTGGTTGGATTATACTCTATCACTTGTGTTTGTATTGAATTGAATTCCAACATGACGTAGTAACTCTGGCCCAAAGTCCCGGCAATTTCAACTCCCTCTATCACTTTTTCTCTATTAGTAAGAATTAGTCCAATGTACTTTTTCCTCTAGTTCCCCCCTCTACCTTTTGGATGACAAAGTTGTCAGCTAAGTCTCTTAGGAATCTTTTCAATCTCCCACTTGCTGCAGAATTTGTCTCCCAGTTAATATCAGGGTAGTGAAAGTCTCCCATTACTACTGTGGTATGTTTCCTACATATATTTGTTAATTGATTAGCAAAGAGTTCATCTATTTCTTCTGCTTGGTTAGGTGGTTTGTAGTATATCCTACAACAGGGGTTCTCAACCTTGGCAACTTTAAGACTTGTGGACTTCAACTTTGCTGGCTGAGGAATTCTGAGAGTTGAAGTCCACAAGTCTTAAAGTTGCCAAGGTTGAGAACCCCTGTCCTACAGCAATGTCATTTTCCCCTCTTTAAATTTTCCTTTTATATTGATCATTTTTGTAAGATTCAATTGTTCCCTCTTTGCAGGATTTACTCAATAGGGTCAATCCAGCCTCTGAACTTCAGCTGAGCAGCTCTGCCACACCAATTGCAATCTAGTAAAATCAAAGCAGTTGTTATTTGTCTATTGTTTTTCATCTTTGGTATTAATGAGGCCTATTGCTATGCAATAACGTCCAGGAATTCTGCATTCTCAAGCTTAATCCAAACATGTTCCGTCTCTCACTGCAGTTGAAGTTCTCTCTCTCTTGTGTAATTTAGGAATTTCAGTTGGGTCTTCTGGCTGTCCTAATCAGCCAGGGTGCCCCTCCCTCAACTCCCAATCCTATAATCAATCCTGGTTAAGGAGGAACAAGGACAGATAAAGGAACAAGGAACAATAACAACAACAACCAAAAAAAAAAAAAAATACCCCAAGCAGGTAGGAGAAGCTGTTGTCTACCAATCCTTCCTATCTATGGACCAATCTTGTTGCATTGATGACATTACCAAGAATGGCAGAGAAAGGTGAGCAATATGCAAACCAGGTTTTCAGAACACCCAGGATCCAACAGGAGGTATCAAGGGTGAGGCCAGAAGGGTTTCTCCTGCGTCCTCTGCTCTTCAGTTTAGCTCTGAATCCCTGGAGGGAGAGAGGGAAGAAATGCATGTTGATTGCATGGGCCAGTTAACTCTCTGGAAGAAAGAAAGAAATTCCAAAATTACTTCATTGCAAGAAGCAACGGATGGAAACTCATCAAGGAGAGAAGCA